CGGTTTATAATGATATTAATATAATGATTTCTGTCATAAAATAAAGCATAATGAGGTTAATGCTTTAGAGGCACCACTAGGGACAGTATGTAGGAATCCTTAAGCCACGATAGGCAGGGACATCAAAGGCCAGCCTACTTAGGACACTGGGAATAAAAAAAACAGATGTAGGAGGGATTCTGTAACTTTCTTTTGCTCTCCCCTTGACTGCCTAAGCTGACTGTTTAGCCCCAGCCCCAGAGGCTGGATCCTGTGTACATTTGTTCATGTTTTGTATTGTGCCATGTAATTCCATTGTAACATTTAGAAACTGTTATAGCCTTTTGTAAATAAAGTTGTAGTTTTGTATTGTATAATTATTGTAGTAAATTGACATTCTGCTAGCATCTGTTTACTTGTTATTATAATTATATTAAATATACATTTAACATTACAAAGTTTTGTGTATTTGCTATCCAAATATTCAACTATAATACCACGAACTATAAAAAAATATTAATGTTGTTACTTATTGCTTAATTATTATATATTAATTAAAATATTAATATTCATCTTTACGTCACGGACACAACAAATGTGAAAAAGGGAGAAATTAATTTTGCATAGATTTATCTTTCAAATTTTTAGTTTGTCCAATATTGGGAAATTATAGATTTGGATGAACTGAATTTCAGTTCAGAAATGTGTTAATTTAGATTTTTGAGAGCTGAAATTAAATGCAATGCCTTCCTATGAGCTGTATTTGATCACATGACAGAGTTTTACTCGATTGTTGTAGAGGTAGCGTCTCTAGTGGCTGTCTAGTAGAAAGCCATGAGAGGTGTTTTAAAACCTGCAATGTATCTGCTGCGGTATATACAAAACAACAACAATTTGAATACATTGTATTAAAATGACAGGACCACTGCACCCAGAGAGGACGTGGTCTAGGTGACTTCAGTGGTCCTTTAAACTGATCTAAAACTGATCTAAAACAAAAGGAGAGAAGCAGAAGCACATCCAATATTGTTTATGCCACAATGTGTCAAGATTTCTAATGTGAATCAGGAGAAAGTGAAAAGGAAAATGAAATGTATAGGAAAACTCTGTAAACCCCTCCTGATTCATAAAACCCCCTGTATACATAACAGTATATCTAGTGCTCAATCTAGAGGAAACCAGAGGTATATAAAAGGATAAAAAATCCTAAGATCATCTATTTTCCTTCCCTGCCTAAAATCTTTATTGTTAGCTCTAATTTTGAGTTACATTAGTCTCGAATTTCAAAGTCCAAAAGGGATAGAGTTTCCAAAAGAAAGGCAAATAATTATAAAAAGACGGAAGACAGGTAAAGGGCTTCAGGCTACAGGGACTAATGCAACAGACTTTCCGATGACCATTTAATTGGGTTCTGGTTTTTAAAAAGTTGAGTTTTGTGCTTAGATGGCGCAGTTGGATATATCAGAGCATCAGATAGTAATGCCGGATATGTATAATTTTGATGCACACATGTATATATGATGCTTGATTGATGCAAATATCACTATGAAGATGACTAGTTTAAAAAGCAAAACATATAGCGTAATGTCAATACTCAGCTTTTTTTTTTTTGCTGTTCTTTCCTTTTTTCCCCTCTTTTGGGTTACTTTTCAATGGATTTTTTTTTCGACCATCTTTATTTCTATAATTTTTTTGTTTGGTTTTGAATAACAAGATAAATAACAGGAAAGAAAATGAAGTCTGCTTCACAGCTTGTATAGAACAATGGATTTGTATGATATCAGTTATCCAATAAACATTTTGTTATAAAAGTCAGAACTTTCTATAAACACATGCACAAAAATATAAAGGTGTGAAGGAATAAACAGCAGCGTTGAATCTCTCACACTCTGTAGACTGTACTAGCTGGGGTAGGTAAGCCATCCCCAAGTGAGATACTGTTCTGAGTCAATGTAATAGTGCCTTCTCTGCTCACAGCATTTACCCCGTGGCCCATTACAAATATTTCAATACATAGAGAAGTGTGGATGTTGACATGAGCTTTACCAGAGCAAAAAGACCAGAATCCAAGTAGACAAGTTACAGCTCTAGTAGGGAATTTGCCAGGGAAACGGGAGAGAGAGGGCAAAAATAGATGGAGAAAGAAGGCGGCATTGAGTTGTTCAATTTTAAAATTGTATAGTTGTGCCATTTAATTACCAGATTTTACTACTAACATGACGTAAAGTCATGATTTTATAAAGGACACGGAGGCGAGTATTAGGCTTATCTCTTTCTTTTATTTCCTCAGCAGCAAAGAAAGCTAAGGTGTTTATTTGTAGAAAAAAAAAAGAAACATGCATAACTACCCTCACAGGGTTAACCTTACATCACCATCCTTCAACCAATATGAACAGTCCTTCTCTAATATCCTTTCATGTATCCTCCTCCTCTTCCTCTTTCTTGATGTTGCTGAAGCTACAATGTCTTCAACAGCGACTAACTACAAACTCATCGTAAAAACAAACAGAACAAAATCTTCCGGAACAAGTCGTCTTGAACTGCACGATCCGGCATCCTCAACCATGGGTATTTGTAGGAAAAATCAGGCTGAAAAGGACAAGAAAAACAATGGTAAAACGTGTCCTTGCCAACTATTTTCGTCTTATCACCTACTAAAAATTGAGCTAGTAGTGCAATCCTGTACATATAAACCTTCAATCGCTTGCTATATTAACCGAAACCAACTGTGTCAATGATAACTCCCACCAATACATTATCTATTACGTACCTGGGCCGGGATACAAATTTCCATTCGCCTCTGATCCGGGTGGGCTAATACTCACCTCCGTGTCCTTTATAAAATCATGACATATTAGTAAAATCTGGTAATTTTATTAAAGGACACTGAGGCTCATATTAGGCTAGTTCAAAGCTGAGAGATAACTACTCTGGACACGTGGTCTGTAGGTCAAAAATAATATTCCTTAAATGTTGACTCAGAAGACCAATCTGCAGTTCTCAAGAGATCCTCTAATCTACAGCCCGAACTGAAAGCCTTTGACGCCATAGCGCCTCTGGTAGAGTGTGCTACATACACAGTAGTATCTATGTGCGCCAAAGCCATTATCCATTTCACCCACCAGGTGAGAGTCACCATAGATACGGGTTCATGAGGTCCTTTTGGTAGCCAAAAACAATTCTGGATGCATCGGATTCCTGAATCCTAAAGTTCGTTTCTCGTATTCCCGTAGACAGTTTACTGGACAAAGTTTGATGTTATGCGGGAACGAAGGGTATGAAACTTAAGTAATAAACGACTTAGTACGCCTGGAGATGTTGAAGGAAACTCCTGTGGGGGTAAAGGAGCGTGCCTCAAAATCCAGTGCTCTAACATCAGACACCCTCTTGCAGGAGATCAGGCAAAAAATCATGGTCAATTTCGCTGACAGTTGCTTAAGCGAGAGTGCTTCATTGTGTGGCCAAGATTCCAACAATTGTAGGACTGAATTGACGTCCCATAATGCCGTGTATCTGGGTTGCGGAGGACGAGCAAACCAAATTCCCCATAGGAGACGACATACTGACAGTTGTTGACCCATCGGGGTTCCATCTATTCCTCTATGTCCTGCTGAAATCGCTGATCTATAAACGTTAATGGTTCGATAGGCTAAACCTATCGAATGGTTCGATAGGCTAAACGTTAAAGGTTCGATAGGCTAAGGAAACGTAACAAAGGAGCTATAGGAGCACGTACGGGATCCACTCGTTGTTCCAGGCACCAACTACTCCATCCATTCCAGTAATGGAGGTAGGACCGTCTAGTTCCAGGGGCCCAAGCTCCTGCCAGTAACTCGATAGTTTCTTGTGGAACATCTGGCACGACCCAGGGTCCCCTGAAAGGAGCCACGCTAAGAGTTTGAGCTGCCCCTGAGCCAGTAGGGGTTGTGGATTGCCCTCCGGGTCCGATAAAAGGAATAAGATATCCGGGAGCAATCGCAGGAGGTCCATGAGTGTTGGGAACCACGGTTGGGCTGTACAAAATGGGGTCACAAGGACCAGTGATGCCTGAGTCCGTCTGAGATGCACCAGTGTTCGAGCTATGAGGGAGAACGGTGGAAAGGCGTACAATCGGCTGTTCGGCCAGCGTTGGAGAAAAGCATCTGCTGCCAGTGCGTCTGGGTCTGGTCTCCAGCTGAAGAATGTTGGTAATTGGGAGTTCAACCGAGATGCGAACAAGTTGATCTGCATTGGGCCCCAGAGCGTCTGAAGTCGTAAGAACACATTGCGGTCCAGCCGCCAGTCGCTGGCATCGTGCAGATGTCTTGAATGCCAATCCGCTATGACGTTGGACAAACCCGGGATGTATTCCGCTTGTATTGAAATATTGCGATCTAGGCAGTATTGCCAGAACTCCTTGGCCAGGTCTGTCAAAATCTCTGATTTCGTGCCACCCAGGTGGTTGATGTATCGGACCGCTGAAATGTTGTCTATGCGCAGGACAATAGAGCAACTGGTTGCACCCCCGAGAAGGCTCTTCAGGGCAAACGATCCTGCCATTAACTCCAAGCCGTTGATGTGTAGGCTTTTCTCTGCACACGACCATATTCCTCCGGTGTAGATAGGCCCGAGGATGAAATCCGGGGCAGTCCCAAAGATTGCCCTGCCATTCCATGCCTCCATATGTTGCAGCCACCATGTGAGTTCTTGCTTGGCTGCGTAGTCAAGTGGCATGGAGTCGGAGTACGAGTGCCCTGAGCACAGCTGTGTGGCTTTTAGTCATTGTAGGGCCCTGTAATGTAGCGGTACTGGGAAAATTGCCTGGGTGGAGGCAGATAGAAGTCCGATAATTCTGGCCAGTTGTCGTAGCGTCAACACTGGTCTTGTGAGCATCCTGCGGATCTCCTTTTTTATGCGTTAGACTTTTTCCGTAGGTAGGCCGGTGATTGCGTTTATATGGAAACCCAGGAATTCTATGGTTTGGGACGATGTCAGTACCGATTTCTCCAAAATGATGAGAAATCCCAAGTTTTGTAGCAACGTCAGTGCCCATGATAGATGTTCCCTTGGTGGGGGATCTCTTGTGTCATGATCAACATATCGTCCAGATAGATGATCATCCGTATGCCCCTGCTGCGGAGCAGGGCGACCACCGGCTTCAGTAGTTTGGTGAAGCACCAAGGGGCCGATGAAAGTCCAAAGGGGAGACATCGGAATCTCCAAGTCGCTTTTTCCCATTGGAATTGGAGTAGATGGTGGCACTCCTCCGCCATAGGGATTGTGAGATAGGCATCTTGTAGGTCCAGTTGGACCATCCAGTCCACTAGTCTGAGTAGGTCTCGGAGGCAATGGATTCCCTCCATTTTGAAATGGTGGTACCGTACAAATGCGTTTAGTGGTCGTAAGTTGATGACTGGGCCGCCCTTCTTGGGAACCAGAAATAGGTTGCTCATGAACCCGGGGGAGGGTGACGGGACCTGATATATGGTGCCTTTTTCTTGTAGGGCGGCAATCTCCTTGTTCACTAAGCCCTTGTCTTGTGTCGAGAATGCTATTCGGTGTGGCCTGCTTGCCTGGACAGGGGGTTGTACAAACTCTATGTGATACCCCATGACAGTATTGTGTATAAAGTGTACCAGTGTGCCCCCCACAGTTGGTATACCCGGGGAGGGGAAAGGTAGTACACTCACCATAAGGACGTCGGCCGTATGAGTGGCCTCTGGGTCCTTGCGGCTGCCATGGTCTGGCCCTGACTGGAAAGAAGGGTGAGGGTGCTCTATTCTCCGGCGGCTGAGCTCGAGCCGTGGTGGGACCTCTGTATCCCTGGTAGGAACCGCGGGAGGAGCGGCCGAGCAGGCGGCCCCGGTGTCTGCCGGCCCCACCAAAAACTCTGGGAGAGAACACTCGTTTTAAATTCGTCTGTGCCTTGTCTAGGGCCTTAAATGTGCTCACGTAAGTGCCTAATTCTTTAACAAAACTGTCCCCTAACAGGAGACCCTTGGCTTGCGGTCCTGGTTCGGAGAGGGCCATGTTAACGAGTTTGGGTTTGATTTTCATCAGTATAGTCTTGCGCCTCTCGGTGGCCAGCGCAGCATTCACATTGCCGATGAGGCATATGGATCTCTGGGCCCAGCCCCTAATGGCTAATAAGTCAAGAGGTGTCCCTTCAGATAATGCCTCCTCGACCAGTTCAAAAATTTTGGCACTAGGGCCTAATGTATCCAGCACCTTATCTTGGCACTGCTGCAGGGTGTAATCAAGACCCTTTTTGGCTTTCCAGCCCGATTTACCCATGAATTGCGCTATTTTGGGGTCTATGTCTGGCGTGACGCAGGCCATGTCGGGCACTGTTGGGCGTGGGCACTCCGCCCGCAGTTTTTGTCTGGTGGCTTTATCTAGGGGCTTACGGATTCTGGCCGCTATGTACCGTGCCACATGGTCAGTCGGGTACCACTCCGCCGACCTAGGGTTCTGCAGTGTATCAGGGTCGAACACAGGTTCACCCTGAGGGTCCAGTATAGCGGAAGCATCCGCAGTATCCTGCAAAGGGTTAGGTGGGTTGCGTGATGGGCTACGGTCAGGGGAGGAAACCTCTCATTCATTTGAGTCGACGTCGTTGGACTCGCTCAACACCTCCTCCATATCCGAACCAGAGTTGGAAGCGTCAGTTAGGGCTTTTGCCCACTTCCATGTCCTCGCTGCTTTTTCCCGGCGGGTGGCTCGTTTTCGTGGGGGCCCCACGACCTCAGGTGTGACAGGACGTACCCTGTCTGTCATTTCATTTTTGGAGGTATGCTTTCCCATGTTGTGAGCTTTCCTCAAAGCTTTACGTCCCTCTCTGTGTAAAGGGCCCTCTTCTGTGGCCCTGCCGAGGGGTCCCTTAGGTTTGGCTGCCTTTATAGCGTTTGAAATAGAGTGGGATATGTTGTCAGACATAACCCCCATTGTGGTATAGATAGCTTGGGCAATTGATTTGGACATGGTGGCGTCCAGAAGCGAGTGGAACTCCTCTGAGTCCAAATGCTCCAGGAGGGTCACCACGTCTCCTTGCAGGGTGGAGGGTGCAGACACCATGGTTCTGTTGACATCCCCCTTATCACTGGGGCCAGGGTACTCAGCAGGGGTCTGCATTTTGGGCCAAGTAAGTGAGTGAGGCACACTAGCAATAGGATAACCATAGCTAATTGCAGGCAATTCTGCAGGGGCAGAGTAAGGGCAGCTAAAGACAAGGCAACAGAAAAAAAACAGTAACAAACAGCTTGCACTGTCAGCTTACCGAGTGTTCCCTCAGGAATGGCCTCTGGGGACACTGGCAGGCTGACAGGCAATCTAACTGTCCAATCAGCTCACGCCCTGCTAGTGGGCTGTGAGCTGAGCGGGAAAAATGAGTGGCAAAATACTTGCACTACCGCCTCTTTAACCCGTCTGCTGTGTGTGCGACGGGGGCCGTGCATGTGCGCGCAGCCTTTTACTCGCGCTGTGTTGTGGCTGGGGAAACCCCTGAGAAGAAAGCCGGGCTCTTCCCAGGGAGTTCCCCACACTGTGCGACCAAGAGGGGAGGGTAATAAGAGGCGGTACGAACGGAGCCTGTACCCCGCCGGGGGGAGGGGGGTAGGGCACCTGCAGGGAACGTAGGAAAAGGCTACAGACAGAGGGGAGTTCCTCAGGGGTTATCAAGCAACAAACGCTGTGGAGAAATTACCAGCAAAGTACAAAAATTCATGCAGAAAAACATACACAGTACATACACAAAATGGAGTCAGTGAAAAAACAGTGATACTTAGCTGAGGCAGCAGCAAAGAAAGAGGGAGAGGAGGAGGATACATGAAAGGATATTAGAGAAGGACTGTTCCTATTGGTTGAAGGATGGGGATGTAAGGTTAACCCTGTGAGGGTAGCTATGCATGTTTCTTTTTTTTTTTTTCTACAAATAAAAACCTTAGCTTTCTTTGCTGCTGAGGAAATAAAAGAAAGAGATAAGCCTAATATGAGCCTCTGTGTCCTTTAATAAAATCCACAATTATGCATTCTATATGGGATGTTTATCTAGTTTATATCTGGGTTGGAGTCTATCCTTCTGAACCCCTGCTCTGAGCAATGAGTCAAGGTTTGCCCTCCTTTCAAAACAGTCATGGCCCAGTGGTATCTCCAGAAGGAAGGGAGTAAACTCCCACCACACTCCCACCATATGTGTGTCATTGTTCTCCTCTCTTTCTCACAGCAAAAACATATGTGCTTTGAGGATATGTTGTGGATAAAGTTAGGAGTCAGGTACCATCTAGTGAGTAGTTTATATGTTTCCTGGTGCTTGGAACTGGATGAACATCAGTGTGTCAGGATCATGATCTCATCCCATTGGGCTTCTGATAGGGATATTCCCAGGTCTTTCTCCCAACCAGCCTGGAAAGGCAGCGGGAGAGTCCAAGGGCCTGACAAGAGAAGTCTGTAGAGGAGCGATAAGCTCATGTGTAGCAACTCCCGCCATTTGAAGTACACCTCAAATTGGGGGTGTTGTCAGGCTCTTCTTATGTGTAACTAAGCGGTAAAAGTACATTAGTTGGAGGTACTGAAATTACAATGCGTCTGAATTTCTCACTCAGCCCCATTACCTGAAGGACCAACCACATGTACTGCCAGCCCACCTTTTTAAATGTTTTCTTCATGCTGGTGGAGAGCAGAAGCATATCATGCTCCTGGGACTACACCATGTGCAACTTTAGCTTCCCGACCGGGGATGAAGCTGCTCTGATCCAGGAGGACTAGCAACGGGATGTTCGCTTTGAGACAAGATGCCAGCATCTTGGTGTAGAGCTTAGTGTTGATATTTAGCAAGGAAAGAGGATAGCTTGAGGAAGCCTCTGGGTCTTTCCCATGTTTAGGCAAGATAGTGATGTAAGGTGCCAGTGTGTTGAAAGGGAGTTAGCCCTGCTCTAAGATGGAATTAAATGTTTTCAGTATGTGTGGAAGTAGAATATTCCCAAACAACTTGTAATATTTGAGGGTGAACCTGTCTGAACCCAGGGTTCTTCCTGTTTTTGATTTCTTTATAGTTACTTGCAGTTCTTCCATCATGAATTCTGACTTGATCTCTTCAGCCTTTTCTTGCGCCAGGGATTTACAAATCTTATCTAACAGGTATTGTTCCATCTCGACCTCAAGCACCTCCCCCTACATGAGGCCTCACAGACTTTAGATTGTATAAAGCCGTGTAATAGACATGAAATGATTGGGCAATATCTGCAGGAAACTGGGTTGATGTGTTTCCAAATTTTTCAATTGTAGGGATGTGGAATCTCTTTTTACGATTTTGTAGTAATCTAACTAACATGTGGCCACATTTGTTCGTGTTTACTTAATAGAATATTTTGAACTTTTGTACTAGTAGATAGTTCTAATGGGTCAGAAGTGTGAATTGTTCCATTGTTATTCCAGAAGGGCCTTGTAGATCGCAAGGTCTTAGTGAAGTTTGTGTTCAGAATTGAACTACTCAATCTATTTCAGGAGGTCTGCTTTATCCTTCTTGCGTGGGGTGCACAGGGAAATGAGATACTACATTTATGCACTTCCCATTATCGCTTTCCAGGTACATCTCCAGGAATACAGATCGACTGTTTTTGTCTAGGTCTGTGTAGAGGTGAGATCCGCTTGGCACCTACTGGTGAATGGTTGAGTTTCCAATTCTGGCCTCCGTCAGATTGATGATGTGTGCATGTGCTACTAGCATCTACTCTATTCTAGAGTGGGTGTTAAAAACAGATGAGAAATATGAGCAGCGGTCCTCTGAGTGTATAGCTCACCAGCAATCCACAAACCCTATCAGGGATAAAAGGCTCTTAATCTTCCTAATCTGCCGATGAATCAAAGAGCATCTCCCCCTAGACAAGTCCTAAACAACTCCTAATCTTCCTAATCTGCCGATGAGGCAATGAGCTTCTCCCCCTAGACGAGTCCTAACTACTGAAAGACAATGCCTTTTGAACCAAGCGGTATACAAAAGGACACACAAACAATTCTTTTGTGGACTTGTATTTCCCCCCTAAGGGCTAAATTGAGGTTGCTGCTCACAACCAGTGTTTCCTCCCAAAGATGGCAATATTATTCAAAATGTTTGTAATAAACTGTCACCATTTACAAGGAGTTAGAGCCCAGGTGAAGGAGATGGCACAGGGAGGAGGCAAAAACCAAAGCACAGTACAGATGAAGGGGTAATCCAAAGGCAGGGTCAGGCTAGAAGCAGAAGTCAGGGCTTATCATTTCCATTACCCATCTCCCA